TATATATATAAATAAATCGACAAAATACGAATGAATTGTCGATCACAAGGTTTGAGTAATAGATGCCCAGTACTCGTCCAATGGTATTAATTTTTTTCATATGCATATAGAATCTGACTTTTGTAATTTACATAGATGTGGAGCTAATACCATTGTTATTTAGTTGTCTTATTAGTTGTGCAAGATCTGAGATTAGTGATTTCCAAGCAGATTTTCCTAGGAAATGTAAAGAAAGGTTGACAATAACAAAAGCGTACCAACGTTGCCGTGTAACATTCTTAGGAATTTCGATACGGGGAAAAGCCATAAGCCATGATGACAAAAAGCAGGAGGGCAATTGATGCTCGACTCCTGGTTTGGACCCTTTTATAGGGAACAAGGAAACATTAACTGAGAATAAATAACGAATAGTAAACAGGACTTGAGTAGCCTAGTAACTGTAGCAAATTAAATAATGTTCAGCGCGATTCTGTGAGGCTTCTTGGTCGGTTGCAGAATGATTGCAGGGGCCGTAATCATTTCTGGCGTGTGACGAAGAGCGACATATGAAGCCTAGTAACAATGATGATAGGAAATTGCGAAGAGCTGTCACCGACGGTTTATTCAATATCATTTCAAACCTAATGACACAGAGCGCCGGAGGAAGCAACGCTACGAACGAAGTCGTACTCCCGATCGTTTTATAATTATAATCATCGCAACCGATATTTATTATCAGATGAAGCAGGTTGGAAAAAAGTGGAGACAAAAACAGGGAAGTACTCGGGAATAATCATGACAAAGCAGACTGGATGACGAAGTAATTACCTCTTACTACTAGAACTACGAATGGAAGCTTCCCGGCGAAGATCCCTACGACCATAAGGAGCAGGAAACCAGAGTTGTGAAACGGAAGATAAATTGGGATCGCAACCCGTAGAAAAGATCAAACACATGTTGTGAGGAATCGAAGACAAAAGGACGATCAGCTTTCATTACTGCAAAACTGCGCGTAGAGCCTGACTTTCAATGCCTAATGTTTAATTGCTACCTGTTGTAGCCGTACGTAACTCTTCATTCAGCGGAGCAGTAAATATACGTTAGAATCGTGAAGCACACAAACAACGCATTATAATTACTGCTACTGCAAAGACATATGCCCTCTGTACTGTTAATATTCTACCAACCGGAATGAAGGTAGAACAAATTCACTAACATAAACAAAAACAGCGACAACGATCATTACGTATAACATTATCTCTATATCAAGAACAGTAAACACCACTCAAAACAAACTTCGTGCTGTTGCAGTATAACTATCCAAGACACCGAGTCACAGATTATAGCGGGCGAAGAAGCCACCCTCAAACCAAGATACCAAACATATATCCCCACTTTAAATACACAAACGCGTAATTAATAAGAAAGCATTGTGATAATGGCGTTCAACGAAGAATAAAAATGAACTATACCCGTCAAAGAAATGAAATAAATTTGACGCTCCTGCACAGTAGCACAATCACATTCGTGTTTTTTTTATCAGCAGACGAAATTTACTGGAAGGGCAAAGGTTTGGTGTTAACTAATTGTAGGCTTGCTCCCGTTCTTCTGTACTTTACATGAAACGCTTATTATTTGTTTGGCAATGTAAATGGCGCATCGTTTCAACATCTCCGTCCAGCGTATTAGGACAAATACAACTAAAAGTTTTCCGTTCCGTCAAAACTCTATATTATAAAAGCTTCATGGGTAAACGGAACAATGGAGTTCCACTAAATTGTACCACTCACAGTTTTACAGAAAACATTCGGATACGAAGAACTATTGCGCTAACAATGTAAGATATCTTCGTATTCGACAACAGCTATTATATTTTAAGGCCACTTTTAGGATGTCATGCTTCCTGTGCAAAGGTAACCGCTTGTTTTGTTTCTGTTAACGGCCAAAAGACACCTTCAAGAAAATCAATTAGCTCTGCCAACTGTCGTATGGGAATTGGCAAATCTTTTCCATTTTTCTCGTGTTTGGATAGTAGTTCATCATCGTCATCGGCGCTTTGCTCGCTATGTTTTTTAGTTCGTGCGCAGTTTCGAAATGGGTTATGAAAAGCAATTGCACTCTTCTGTTTCGCCTGTCCACCGTAGCTGCTGTTGTCGAGACTTGCACAGTCCTGCTCAGGTTCTACAGCTGGATAGTTGACGCTTAAGAGCATTATGTCACCATCTACTGAGAGATTGTGCACGTCACTCTGAAAATCTGCATAACTTGACTTATGCGTCAACAAATTTAGGAGACCCTTTAGCTCGCGTAACGCTAAAAGGGCTTCCTTTTGAGTATCAAAAAACGTGTCGCTTCGTGTCTGTGTGATTTGGCTAGAGTATACCGCTTCTGCGTCTATGTTATTGTAAACGTTCCGTTTCGGACCATTCTTGGAAGACTCATCCGACTCACGAGGCAGCGCCGGATACTCATCACACTCGAAGTTGTCCAAAAGTTTCAGATACTCAGGTTCAGTTTCCGATGCAAGATCAGAGGCTTCTGAACTTAATGATGTCTCTTCTACATAGAGTATTATATCTTCTCCCATTCTGCAAAGTACAATTTATTAGTTTTAGGCTCGTGGCCTCCTTGTTAGTCGCTAATAATAAGCTAACCCTTTATATACTATTCATCAGCATCCATTAAATGCTGGATTGCTATAACTGTACATGGCGTTGCGAATCGTTTCTGGGAATGCACCCCTTCAACATACGCACAAAAGGTGCTCAGATAAAAAAAAATGTTTAAATTAAAAATACATAAAAAATAAATAAAGACTCGCATGAAAGTTACTTTGGGCACATCGACTAATGCCACCATTGTTTTTTTTTTTCATTAAACACCTACAATAATATACAATAATACGCTTAATTAGTCAGAATTAAGCGCTGGAGGAATCTGAATAGAGGTTAGCCAGTGGAAAAAAACATTTGATGTGAAAAAACTCAATAAGACATTTTACAGTTTAGAAAAAATTGTTTTAAAGTCCAGAATAGCAAACCTCTTCTTCGTTCTTTTATTAAATCCACACGTACCAATGCGCGTACAAACACCATTTCGAACTCAAATCCTGCAAAACATTACCTATTTCTTCTATTAAGCTTCCTGAGGTTGCGTGTCATACTGTGCTGGTAAATCGAAACCAGTATAATTCAGTGTCTATGACTATGTTAATCAATCACTAGTGACTATGACATTTCGAAATTGCAAAAAACGAAGTAGGTTTGATTGATAAGGCCGAATCGGAAAACGGTGGATTAGTGTACTATGTTGGCTTCCGTTTCGTGTTCATTGCATACTGACCGTTTTGTGGTAGTGAAGTCCAAGGCATTCTTTTCCTCGATGATACTAAACATGAGCTTCACTTTTTCAAAGTCGCGACAATCTTCATTTAATCGACTCAACCCAAAGTTCCACCATGCGCTAATCTAATAGGGTAGAGAGGTGGGAGATGGGTATTAGTCAAAACTGGAAAAACGTTTAATGGACACAAGGATGTCTATGTTTTTTGATATATCATTTCATCAGAGGTCTCGTTACTTTATCAATTAACCATACGAATTTTATTCAGCGCTACGAACAGAATCGATGCTACGCCTTTCGTTGTTATTAGTATATCTTTGTCGCAGATGCAGGTATAATACATATTAATTAGATCGTAGGTAAAAAGATGAAGAAAGCACAAAAAGCTAGCTAGTTCTCAGTGGCTTGTTTGTTCCATTTGCCGCCGACGGTGAAATGATGTTCAGAAAATTACTTTTTACAATTTTTTTTCTTTGTCAAGGAAGTTTTACAATTGATTAGCTGCCATGGAATCTACCGGTGAATATTATACGTATGTATGGTACGTTTACCATAGCATTCACTGAATGCATAAGCAAAAGGCCTAAAAAGGTTTCGCGTCCCACCTAGTGCATCATACTGAATATGCAGAAAAATTGGGCGAAAATTACAGCTGACAAACGATAAACTTCGAAGAGTATGGATTCTACTATGAATACTGCGATTAAAGTCACGCCAGTAATTATTATATTTACCTCTGCGCACATGGCCTCTATATGATCGCCTATTTCAGGTAGGCATTCAGCTGGTTCCTGTTTGATAAGAGTCCTACTAATGAAGTTTGACGTCATCAAAATTTCATTCTGCATCTTGCTTCTTAAGCTATCCTTTAAGGTCAAACATTTCGAGAGGAAGACTTTAATTGAAGTCTGTACTGTGACGTGGCGTCCTTCTGCTTCACGAGCATTGGCCTTACTGATTGCCTTAGAAATCATGTCGTTGAGTTCCTGCACAAATTGAGAAACGGTTGTAGCGGATGAGAGTGAAAAGCATTGAATGGCATTGGTAAGGTATTCTGACGCAAAGCAACTTTGTCATTTAACGCTTGCCCGTGTCCCTTGACATTCGGCCGTTGTGCGCCTCGCCTAATAAACGCAGCCATTATCACAGCAGTCTGATACAGATCGGAACTTAGCCCATAGTAGAGTGCCACAGCCAACAGTAAACACATCTGACTACTCGTCGAATCGAATAATACTACAAATTCGGCAAGCGTTGCGTTTATCAAAATAAACATGATTTCTATTTTGTATTTCGAGAACCAAGCTCACCCGTTCGCACAGAGCACTGACATGTTTGAAGTAATGCTGGAGACGTTTCTGGAATTGTTGCTTTCGGATTATGCTTGTTAGAACATTCATATCAAAGTCAATGCGTAATGCTAAATATGTAAAGCGGTGTATTGCTATGTCCCAGGTTCGCGCTCATTGGAAGCTACTAGTCTGAACTTCGTACTCCCTAGGCGTTGATCCCTTGCGCTCTGCAGTCCTCGGTCAGAATATGTAAAGGCAATAATACTATTTTCAATGATTCATTTGTGTAAATATATAGTGAATAGAAATTTATTTATGGCCCAGAAATAACCACTCGTCTAAAGGTGGCCTCGTATTTTTTTGGTAAATATGGCGCCCTGGTACTCTTCTGCCCCCATAACTAATATGTAAATCTGTCGCCGCTGGTTTTTTTTTTTCGTTTTTAAGCTCATCTTTTATTTCTATCGACGTGACAGCACAGTAGCATATGTCAAGTTGTCCGAACCTGCATACCCCTTAAATCATCGCTTCCGTCGATCCGTGCGTATGCCATCGAAACACTTAACAATAACAACGTCTGAGTATCCGTTTACACTGTACCAGACAACTTACTAAGACGAAAGATCTATTTTGTTTTATGAAAGATGGCGAAAAGCGGAAATTTGATTTTTTTTTGGCACGATTAGGACGTTAACTTGTTGCTTGGGGTATTGGACATATGTATGTCCGCTTGGTTCGTTATCTGTCTCTAAGGTAAAAAGATCTTAAAGGCCAGACGTCGAATTTAGCCGAAATTCACAGTATAGAGACGCAGAGCAGTTTCTCCTATTTTCTTACTAGATGTTACGCGCTGACCGGACGCGTACTGGAAATTAGTTTTTGTAGCCATAATGTGCCTTTCGAACAAAGCGAATATCTTTAGGCACATATTTCCTTTTTAGGCCTTTTATTTTTATTATTACAAACTGGAAAATAACCGTGTGCCATTAACGAAATTCGAACAACAAGTAATTCATTTGGCAAAACACCGCCATTATCTCTTAACTATCGTGTTACGCATAAAATCAATCAATATCGACTATAGATTCAGTACTTAGGTCATATTTGAAACAGTATATATCTCGTCCAAAGTAGTTGCATACGAGGAAAGTTAGAAAGGACTTCCTTTTACCTTTTTGGCAAAAACTAAAGTTATATATGCACGAGCGATTTGTCTTTAGGGCAAATATATTAGACCACCCCCTTTTTCAATCCATCTGAGGTTAGCATCGGTTACAAAAAATAAATTGAACAAAAATCACTTTTTTTGTGATGTGATGCACTTGATGATCATGGTAACAAACAATTATCGTTTATGGACACCAGTCGTATTCTATAAAATTTCAAAATCATTAGATTAATATACATAGATTAGTGTGTACTATACTGCCTAATCTGTCCTCTGTTTTGTTTTAAGCACCGTATTCCTATTGCCTTATATACAGTTAACTTGAATGCAATCGATACATCTCAGCTAAACTTCCTTTATTCAAAAGTTGTGAATTCTTCTTTTGGTCACCTTGGTTAAAGTTTTGCCTTCCAAATCTAATGTGAAGAGTCACTGACGTTTGGCATCCAGATATCATTGGACGGCACTAAAAAATTAGATAATAAATAAAGATACAGTGAAGTTTCTGGAGTTATACGCCTTTTTTGTCCTGCAGGTTTTTGTCACCCTGTCGTAATTGACGCTGTTTCGTGTAGTCCTTAGCCCGATGAAGAGGGGCGCTTTGCAGACGGGGCATAACGACATGGCCATGGCAGCGATGACACCTCTAGAAGGCTGGAATTATTCCAAAATTTTGGAACATATCTGATCTTTTTCGTCACAGCCGCCAAATTTCTAGAAGACTAACTAACTTATCCCGCAAATCAAATCGCGGACTGCAATATTGTATTAAATTTTACTTCCAGTAAAATTCTTCTAATAAAATAGAAACGATTATTATAGATTCCTATTGAAACTGTCCTAAAAACGAGAGCGTATAGATGGATCGCGGAAACACTTCAATAATCATTATATTTTTGCGGTGCCTTTTTTGTTTCCATTCATTCGATGTTCGCTTAATTAGATTGAGTCTTGCCAGGGTACAATCCATTTGCTTGCTTCATGTTTTATGTTTTATTCTTAAAGTAAGCATTCTATTAAAATAGTTTGGTGTTAGGCCCAACGTTCGGAAGTCTAATTGAATAAAACTGTTAGGAGCGTCAAACAACGCATATATCTAAGTGCTCCTTTTTTATAGAGCTAGCAGCCTATAGCGTAATACTGTTGACTGCAGTAGTCCGAAGTCAGCGAGGCCAGAAGTACTTTTCAGAGATTCGGGGGAGTATTCGAGGAAACTTCGCAAAGATTTTTGCTGCTTTTTTTCGGGCGCGTACCTCTACGGTTTCTTGTTAAGCTGTGCTTTGAACAGTGATAGTAACAGCTAGGTTGCATCGACACAGGATGGAAAAGTCTGAGTGGACCGTCAGTGTAGAATGGACTGGGACGACGATGGCTATTGAACTTGAATTAATGGATTGAGCCCATTAGCTAGCCCTAGAATTAGCTCAGTACAGATCAAGGGTCAAAGATACAAAATTGAGAATTTAGTCCTGGTGTATCAAACAAGTATTTTAACCGTGCAATCGAAAGATATAGCTATGAGACAAGAGTTCGCCTCCTGTCTATCATGTCCTCTCTCATTTTTCCACAATCTCAAATTCCTATCATGTCCATTGGTCTGTTTATTAAACGCAATACTAATATCCAGCATAACAGCTAAGCGATGAACTTGAGAGGGCAAGGGTACGGTCTTAAACCCTTGACCTTATATACATCTATAGTAAAGGATTATATATACATATACTTGAATCCTAACTTAAATAACTAGTCAAGACCTATATATATAT